TGGAGAATGTGAAATGTTTTAAATATTTGGGTAGCTTGTTAACAGATGATGGAAGGTGTACTAGTGAAATTAAATCCAGGATTGCCATGGCAAAAGCTGCATTTAGCAAGAAGAATAATCCTTCTACCAGCAAACTGCACTTAAATTTGAGGAAGAAACTATTGAAATGCTACATTTGGAGCATAGCTCTGTATGGGGCTGAAACATGGACACTTAGGGCAGTAGATCAGAAACATCTGGAAAGTTTCGAAATGTGGTGTTGGAGAAGGATGGAGAAGATCAGTTGGACCGATTATGTGAGAAATGAAGAAGTGTTAATTAGAGTCAGTGAGCAGAGGAATATCCTACATGAAATAAGAAAACGGAAGGCTAATTGGATTGGTCATGTTTTATGCAGAAACTGCCTTCTTAAAGAAGTTATTGAAGGAAAGATAGAGGGGCGGATAGAAGTGACAAGAAGACGTAAGAAGATGCTGGATGACCTTGGGGACAGAAGAGGATACTGTCATTTGAAGGAGAAAGCTCTAGATCGCATTAAGTGGAGGAATTGTTTTGGAAGAGACTGTGGACCTGTTGTCTGACAGATTACTGATGATGATGGTGGTTAACGCCTCTAATTGTGTATATAAATGGTTCAGAACAAAATTTACTTTCAATAAACGTTAATAAAACCCATTGCATACAATTTAAAACTAAAAACAAATTAACAACTGATATAAAAATTGTTTGTAATAACTATCCAACAACAACCTTGTCCAATATAAAGTTCCTTGGCATATATATAAATGAATAAATAAATTGGAGTTCTCATGTTGAATGCATTATCCCAAAACTGAGCTTGGCTATATAATGAGTATTATTAAATCATACATGACTCTCAATACCTTGAAAATTATTTACTATTCCTATTTTAATACGATTATGAGCTATGGTTTATATATTTTGGAAACTCACCCCACAGTTTAAAAATATTTAGAATCCAAAAAAAGATAATTAGAATCATGATCAGCTGCGATAGTAAGGTTTCATGTAGGAATCTGTTTAGACAGTTGGAGATTTTACCTCTTGCATCACAGTATAGTCTTTCACTCGTGCTTTTTGTGGTTAACAATAAAAATCTTTTTGTTTTAAATTCAGAAAATCACAATATAAATACAAGACAATCCAATAATTTCTATCAGCCTATATCAAACTTTACTATATACCAAAAGGGAGTGTATTGTATGGGCATTAGGGTCTACAATATTCTCTCTCCCCACACCAAAGACATGTCTGAATCCTAGGAAATTTAAAACATGTTTAAAACATTTTCTCCATATGCATTATTTTTATTCCCCTGAAGAATATTTTCAATATAAAACCTGTACAAGTTAATGACTAGTCAAAAGCTAGTATCAAACTTTATATTGTCATACTTAGGCATTTCAGGAGTACTATGTTTGATTTGCTTGTAGTCAGATATTTGACTAGTTCTTGATTGAATATTTCTATTGCTATTTCATAGTCAATTCTAATAGTATTAATTAATATGTATTTACTTAAATCAATTATATGATTGAACATATTTTATTTCATTTAATTCTATTCAGTTACTTTGTTTTATCTATTCTGTATATTTCTTACTATTTTGACATGTTCTATATCTTAAAGTGTACTGTGAATCTATGGAACGTTAAATAAATTGAAACTGAAATTTCAGGCAAACACAACGAACGAAGCCCTGTGCTCAGTGTATTACAGCTATGATGCATGTGTTTGGCAGCGAACATACATAGGGAAATATTCTCTCCCAGCTGTAATGGAAGGGTTTGGCTGTGATCATACAAAAGAAAACAGTATCTCTGAGAGAATTTCTTCAGTCAGATATCTGAAAAATGCAGCAACGATGTGAATCATATTTCAGGATAAACATAGCTCAGGTTGGTATGTAGGTGCAGCTGTGGTTTATGATGCCCAACCTCATGTGTTACAAGCAGGAATGATTTTGTAATGCAGAATCACTTTGTGAGAAAGTGGGCCTCTTATAGTAAGCACAAAAAATAAAAAAAATAAAACTTTGTCCAGATATTTTCAAATCTTGATATTTATATTACATGACACCATGTTCTTTGTTCATAAAAAATAAACTAATTTTATCATAAAAATTGTATTAGTTACAGAATTTTCAGTAGCATGATTCAGACTATTTAAATGCTCTACAGAAGGGATATTTAAATTCCAGCCAGCTACACTCTTTGAGCATTTACATACCCTGGGAGTTAAGCGATAAATTCATCACAAATATATGGATACTCCCCATTACAAACATTTTGCTGTTTCTTCACTCATTGCAGTTCTCACAGGAGTATGAGCACTCCCCACTATGCATGCGTTCATGTCTCTTTAGACTGCACTTTTGACTGAATGATTTCTTACACATGCCACAAGAATATGGCCGCTCCCCACTATGGACACGTTCATGTTTCTTCAAAGTACTCTGATCACCAAATGACTTATTACATATATCACAGGAATACGGAAGCTCCCCACTATGAATATGTTGATGTTCCTTGAGAGTGCCCTGTTGAGTAAATGCTTTACTACATATTCCACAGGAATATGGGCGCTCCCCACTATGTATGCGTTCATGTCTCTTTAGAGTGCACCTTTGACTGAATGATTTCTTACACACGGCACAAGAATATGGCCGCTCCCCACTATGGACACGTTCATGTTTCTTCAAAGTACTCTGATCACCAAATGACTTATTACATATATCACATGAATACAGTAGCTCCCCACTATGAATATGTTGATGTTTCTTGAGAGTGCTCTGTTGAGTAAACGCTTTATTACATATTCCACAGGAATATGGGCGCTCCCCACTATGAATTCGTTGATGTCTGTTCAATGTACTCTGTTCTCTGAATGATTTATTACACACATTACAAGAATAAGGCCGAGCTCCACTATGGATGTATTGATGTCGTTTCAAATTGGTCATAAACTTAAATGATTTGCTACACAAATCACAGGAATATGGGCGCTCACCACTGTGTGTGCGCTGATGTATCCTTAGAGTACCACGTTCACTGAATGTTTTGTCACACGTATCACAAGAATATGGGCGTTCCCCACTATGTATGCGTTCGTGTATTTTCAGTGTACCATGTTTGCTGAATGATTTATCACACACACTACACGAATATGGGCGCTCACCAGTATGAATGCGCTGATGTGCATTCAGAGACCCCTTCTGGCTGAATGATTTATCACACACATCACAGGAATACAGATGCACCACAGTATGTTTGCGTTGATGTTCATTCAGACTACTATGTTCACTGAATGATTCATTACACATATCACAGGTATATGAACAATTCACACCAGATAAGCACACATGACTCTTAAATGTACCTTGAAGAGTAAATGAATTATGGCACACATCACAGTAATATGGATGCACCTCACCACACACGGGTTGATGTTCATTCAGGGTAACCTGACAAAAAAAGAAAGATAATTTACAGTCAACCTTAAAATGCTGAAAAGTAATGTCAAAGGCAAAACCAACATGACAAAAACCCTTTCAATGCAAAATTATATTTTATACTAATACCATTACACAGCAAGGAATTTGTTGTACATGCATCCAATATTGTACAACATACAAATTTGGAATGGCATGCAAAAAATATTTTTGGAGACGTTATGTATCTTTTTGGCAGGCTGATCCACTAGCACAAACCATAGAAAATCAGATATTATCCCACTGGACCATTCTTGACGAAAGAATAATCAGCATAGACCAGTCAATTCCATGTTAAACAGATCTGATTTAGTTCCATTCTTATGTGATGTGCAAATATGACATCTGACACCATCAGGTGATACAAAATGGAGGCAACAAAGTAAATGCCATTCCATTATTTCACAGTCTAATGTAACCACTGTATATAATGTACTAATTTGCCTTTTTGATAATGTCTAGTGAAGAGGGGAATTAAAACAAATGATATGATCAAGTACATAAAATATCACACCTGTAAGTACATAATGAATGAATGAATACATGAATGTTTGTATTGTCACCAACAACTGCTACTTCATAATTTTAGCTGGAAAGAAAAACTTAATGTATTATAATATTAATAATACAGCAATACAATTATCTTAGTATATTTATTCACACTTAAATCATACAAATAAAAGACTTCCCACTTCATTTAATTAAAGTGCACCGGATCATCTGGGGGGAAAAAAACAGGATGGGGGAGATGGAGTTATAAAATGAAAACCATGGATGAAAATGATTAATTTCTACAGCTTTAATCATACTCTGTTTCAAAGTTCAATAATGTGTACCAAATGATGGTTCATTTTATGACAACTTGGTAATTAAGATAGGGTATGGTCTCCTTTGGTGTACTTGGAACGTCCACATTATTACACACGTTCCCCAGGCAAAACATAAAAAAAAAACTTCATTCATCATCATTTATTGTCATTATCTTGCTTTCTACACAGCATCCCTGCAATGTTAGGTCTCGTGCTGCTGTTCACCAACTGCTTCCTCCCTAGGGCTGCTTGTCTGAAGCACCACAGTCCCTTGCAGGAGTGCCTCCCTTAGTGTGCTTCTGCAACCAGATGTCTCCAGTTATTATTACAGGCAAGTCCCTTGAGGGTTCAACCAGCAATCTTGCTTCTGCTTGATGTGCAGTCCCAAAAAAAAAGACTTCAGGGGTCATTCCAGCATGTTGAAACCTCACTGCTTCTCTTCCAATAAGGAGGTGAAAGTGATTGCATCCCAGTGCCCCACAATGGCAATTCTTCACTGCCTAGTCATAGCACATGGTGCCTCAAATCCAAGGATGCATCGTAGGTGCGCAAGACATCCAGTCTCTGATTGAACTCATGAATAATATTGGCGACAAACACACAAGTTGTCAGTGAACAGTGTCACAAAGTCAGCTTTACTAACACTTCCTTCAGGATGGGGACGATCATCTCATTCAGGGAGTCCTGCAGTAATGTCCAGTCTGACGAGTATTACTGATGCTCCTGTACTGATGGTCACAAGATGTACTTTGAAGAAAGCAGTCTTCTGGGATTTGGCACCGTGTATGTGTGGTGTTAACCGACGTTTCGGAGGAACGCATCGCCTCCATCGCCTCGCTTGCGGATTTCTTATATTTTTTCTTCTACCCTGAAGATGGAGGCGATACGTTCCTCCGAAACGTCGGTTAACACCACATATACACAGTGCCAAATCCCAGAAGACTGCTTTCTTCATAGTCACCGCCATGAAAGCCTCAAATCTTACACAAGATGTACTTTGTCTCATATTTGTCCTTCAGCACTGTAACTGTCATCATTGTGCTTCTCTGCCACACTGTCTATGTAACGAGGAGGCATGAGTGATGAAACCATCACCTTCTTCATTTCTCCCATTCATGACTACTGTTATAATCCTCAATAAAGAAAATAAACCTGACTCAAATTCTCTACATTGCGTAGTTCTTTAAAAACTTGCATTTGCAGTAATCTTTGTTACAGCATTGATACAGTGCATAAATGGCCAAACCAGGCATACCAACAAAAGGGGTTAAATGATAAAAAACAAAATTTTACAAAAAAAAAGTCTGAAAATGCTTTATTGATCTGGAAAGTTGGGGAACAGAACAAAAATCGCAAATCACTTCCTTCCTCAGCTCTATGCTCTGTTCTGGCTTGAACTGATTCAATCCTTCTATCTTGTCTTGGGTCATTTGTTCAACATGAGACTACTGACTTGCCTGAAAGTAGCCAGGACAGACTGGCAATACCTCAATAAATGCAGTGGCAATCTAATGACTAAGTTTGGTCAGGGTACAATGAGATCCCTTGTACAGAGATATGAGCAAAGTATCCAGAGGATCCTTAGAAACACATGGAATACAGCTCAGCCCACAGGGCTTGTGATCTACAGGGAGATTGGGCCAGAACCTCTAAGATGGTAGCCCATCACTTGTGGGTGTTTCTTGGTTTGGCAATTTTTTTTAGTTTTAGTTTTATCTAAATTTCAGAATGGCATTTTGGTGAATATATCAAGAGCTAATATTGTGCATACAAATAATGCAGCCAGGGAACTGATTTATTACTCAGATTCTTCAATGGAATGGCTGGATGCATTTTACTAAACATGCACAGTTGGCTGAGGCACTATCTTACAAGCCAGAAGGTCATGGGTTCCATTCCCAATGAGGTCACTGGACTTTTCAACTGACCTAATCCTTCTGGCTGCACTATGAGCCTGGGGTTGACTCAGCCTCTAACAGAAATCAGTACCAGAAATCTTCCTGGGGGTAAAGGGGCGGCTGACACATAAGGCTGACAACCTCACCACCGCCATCTGTGAGTTGATTGTCTAGGAAATGTGGAAGCCTCAACATCTCACAACCCTATGGGCCTCCAAGACGTGTTACAAGAATAGCTTTACTTTCTCTCTCTCTCTCTCTCTCTCTTTTTTACAAATCTTCCATCAAATTCAGGAAAGATGGCAGGTATGTAGAACTCACCTCATGTTCAGTCTTTATTCCTGGAAATGTTATTAACAGGGGATCCTCTTCCTCTTTTATGTCTATACCCTCCTCAACTTTGATGCTGATGACTTCATTTCCATCATGACAAGATGTTAGACAGGCCTCATTACATGAACGAAGTTCAACTTTTAGTATATCTGTGCAGCACTGCAAAATCAATGATGAAATATTAATTCAAAAATGAAAACATAACCAGAATAGGTCATGAGGCCCCACTGGGGCTTGACACCAAGAGAGACAGACTGACTGATCGTCAGTTGCAATGTCTTTGACTTTGACATAACCAGAATATATAAAGGGTAAGTGTGTAAAATTTAAGGTTAGAGTATCTTTCTGCTTCTTTGCTACTGTCTGCAGGCAGGAAAGGTTAACAGTCACTCTGTAGGTCAACATTTACATTACGAATGAAAAGTGTTAAAATCATGGTGGGGGTGAAACGTACAAATTCTTGTAGGGCTCTACTTTCAAGGAAATGAAAATTCTGCCTTTGTGTTCTCAATACATATATTCCTTAATGCAACACACTATAAATAGCATACATCTGTTTACAAGAAATACGGAGGTTCATAATATTGGTACCAGACAGAACGTTAACCTATTTCCACTGACTACTTCTCTTACTAAAGTTCAAATGGGAGCATATTATTCAGGTATAAAAATCTACAATCATCTGCCTAAAGAGCTGAAACAATTATCTAATAACCTGGAGTCCTTTCAACGTTCCCTAAAAAGATTTTTACATGCTAACTCTTTCTATGCATTAAATGAGTATTCTAATTGCAAATGTACATAAATTTGAATGTTATAATGCCACATTTTAATATAGTTGGTATGGGCAATGTGAGGTGTTGTATTGGTTTGGGTTGTATTGTGGTTACTTGTGAATTATGTCTGTTAATCAGGTACACGGTGCCAAATCCCAGAAGACTGCTTTCTTCAGGATATTATCTTTTTGCCTCATATTGTTGTATGTGTCAGATAGTTAATGTGGGTGATCTTCGTTGTGTGATTTTGTGTGTTTGGTGACTATTTCCACATCCTGGGTCTGTTGCCTTTATGGATGTTTGTGGAAAGTGGAGGATGTGTATGTATGTATATGACGAATCCTGTATCAATGTATTTTGATTTATGGGAAAATGAAATAAAGAAAGAAAGAAGGAAAGATAGCTGGTCATAAGTGTGTAAATTTGTAATGCATTTAATTCAGTTAATCTGGGTAATTTGAGTGAAACTGTATTAATTTTAAGTTTTTATAGTAATGCTCTTTTTAAATTATGTTTAGTAATTATAACGGTAATAAGTGTTTTTTGTTCTATTGTCTATGTTGGTTGACTAGCGTGTGTGTGACTTTGGTTGTGTGATTTATGTAATTTATTATATGTATACATCTATTTTCAAAGGGACTATTTCCACTTCCTAGGTTTTTTGCCTGTATGGCTATGTGGAAAATAAAGGAAATGAATGAATGAATGGAATTGAAGATCTTACCTCTTCCACATAAATGCATATTTTCATTAATGAATTGCGCTGTAAATAACCAAAAACACTTTCACACTAATTCAGCTGTATAAAGTGTTAACACAAGGAACATTCAGCATCTTTATAGACCAACTGCTACCCTCTCATGTTTTCAGAAAAGTATATACACATATTATGCTGGAATTAAAATTTTCAACAATACACCATAAATTCTGAAAACTCTCATGATTAACCTTTATCCTACGGCCCTTTAAACTTAGGCTGTGGCAGCGGTACGGAATTATTTCAAGGGCCGCTCTTAGAAATCCGTAAAAGCTGTAAGTTACTTACTAATTTTGCTCCTATTTCTGCTATTTCTGTGATAATCGAACGAAATAAACGCTGTTTTTTTCTCGAAAGAATATAGAATCAGATATTGTAATTTACAGATTGTATAAAACATGTTAAAATTTTTGCACTGACTCCAAAAAGAAATTTGCCAATTTTTTTCCTTCTCTGCGAGAATTCATACGTTTTGGACACCCCTGAATGCCATTCGCTTGATGACGACACTTAGTGCAAGTAATGGTAACAGAGCGGATGTTGTGTCTAGAGACGTTATCGCAGTCTATGTGACGAACTTCAACTGGAATGTGGTCAGTGGAAGAGAGATATAAACTCACGTGTTGTTTATAAATCTCTCCTGAACAATACGTATACTGTTCTTCTACAGTTCAATGCTAGCATTCTTTATGCATGCGTTGCCGTTGCCGTACTAACACAGCGTAATAGCTTAGTGGCTGGACGTGTTCAGTCGAGAGTAATTTCAAATTTCGTTCGTAACATGTGGTCCGTGTCGT